GACTTGATTATATTTGTGCTCATTGTTCTCCTGGGTTGCAGGCAGGTCAGGCTTGTCCCTGACATCAGGTTTTGTAAGGTTGTGGGAATGAGGCAAGAACTATATTTTCTCTTCTGTCAGATCTCCTGTGGCTCTAAGCACAGTGTCTTATAAGTAAAAAGTGCTAAAGACATGTTTGCTGGTGTGTTCACTGATTAACGCGCCAATCTGCAGTCTCAGAGGGATTGTGCGTCCCTGCCCAGAATGCTGGGGCTTAGAGAAAAGAAAAGAGGGTTTGTAATCAGAAAAATCCTAGCTCTGCCACTTATTATCTATGTGAATCTGGACAAGTTAACCTCTTGGTGACTAAAACGGGGATTATTAACAATATTACTTGTCTCATGGGGTTGTTGTGAGACCCGAGTGCTTAGCAAATATTCGGAGTTATTATAGCTATTATTATCATTATGAAGGTTATGTATGACAAATGCTCAGTATGTGGGAATATATATTAGGTATCCTGGTTCTCTATTTCTCTGGAACCCAGACAGTTCTTTCCAGAGAAGATTGATTGCTTATAATCAGCCCTGAGGAAATGGCTGTTTATTGAACTAACCAGACCATGAGGTTTCTATCCAAACTCCTCCTCTCTAAGTGGTAGTAAAGTCAGATGACATATGCAGATTGTCTTTGTGTCTGCTTCTCTGCCTAACTTTGGCCCCCTCCTTCCTCACTTCCTTCCTGGTCCAGTTCAATGCAACTGAATTCAATGATCATTTACAGAGCACTGTTATATGCTAGCTACTGGGCTGACCCTGGAGGTACAAAGAGAAATAAGTCGCTCAGCCCAGGAAACTCCCAGCCTCCCAGCTCACTCCCACTTAACCTTGTACCTGCACCTCTCCTCATACGTACAGGCCCCAAGGGAAGGTGAAGGGAGAAGCCACAGCTCCGAATTCCCATGCCTCCTTTGGTGACCTGGGATGAGTCCCTTACTCTCCTAGACCAACAGTTTCTCCTCTGTAATAAAAGGGTGTCTATTTTGATCATAGATGAACATCCCCTCTTGGAAGAGGGCCAATTTAGAAAAACATTTAACATGTTTATGGGAAACATATTTAAAATGAAAACAGCTTTGTTGAGTCACATGGAGTAGGAGTTGCGGGTGGGTGAAAATATTTTGAAAATCAGAAAGTGATCTACAAATGTCTGTTTCTTGCCATCAGTAGGATTGCTATTAGATGAAGTGTACAAAGTGACTTTGCCAACAGGTAAGGCTGCTGTCTGCAAACCCTTTGGTGGTGAGGGGAGTGGAGTTTAATATATTGTTGGTCTCTTGACTTTCTGCACATCTTGTGAGTAAGGCGTTATCTATACTTTTGTTCTAGACTCCTTTTAGGGATGTTTCCACAGTGAACAGTCTTAGAAGATACAGTGTCTCCTTCAGAACAGGGCAAACATGCTTACTAACCAGTGTAAAAGACTCAGGCTCCCTAAGCTCAGGGTTCCTCTCCAGTAACACAACCCACTCTGTGCACAGGGACCTGGCCCTCTCACATGCCCTCGGAATGGGCAATTGGGATTTGGGGAACTGGTATAAATACCGATGCTGTGGCTGCTGCTACTGCTCTGAGTAATACACTTCCTTTGTCTCTGGCACAGGAATATCATGTCATCTGCTAGCATTCATGATACTGTAGCATTATAACTTGTTAGCTTTAAGATAGAGTAAAATCTTGGGCCCTTCACAGTTCTTGATCGCTAGTCTACCACCTATGATCACTCTACGGGGAAAGGAGAGTTGAATGCACTCTGCTTGTTCTTGTATTGGTGAAAGATGGGTAAATGGCCTTTTGAGGAGTCCCCATTGTTCCATATGGAGCCTTGTCTAACTCAAAGTCTTACATGATTAGGATCATACCCCTACTCTGTGTTCTCAAGTAGATGGGCCCAGAAGCTGAACAGATACATTCCAACCCCTGAACTGCTTTGTAATTCATGATTAAGATGGATTATCTATAAGGGCTTCTTAGAGCAGCCAAATGGCAAATGCCTTCTCAAGGTGCTAACCGTGGGAACATTTGGTTTGAGAAGTTGAGCCCAGATGGAATTTGCCCAGTTTCAGACTGGGACAGGGTTACAAGCTTACTGATCTCTGTTGCAGCCTGTCTAAGTCTCAGGAGCTTTTTAGGAAACAAATGGTCAGGCTTTGGACAGACAACATTTGGAGGCCCTAGCCTTCTTGGATTAAAAAGTCTACATGGATCTGCATGGAATTTCTCACTCCACTGGCATAAGAAAACTGGGAGCTTCCTGCATTTATTAAAGAGGAGGCCAGGTTCACACTTCCTACCTGGGTAGCTTGGATGTTCACATTCCCTTCTCTTAAGAGCTTCCAGACGACAGCCATGTCTTCATCTGTCTCCGCAGAAGCCAAGGGAGTGATCATCACGGCGGTATAGCCAGCTTTGTTCTGATGGTCTACATTGCAGACTCCTGCAAAAGAAGCAATGAGCACTGGAAGAGCTCCTAAGGGGCTAGAAGCAAGACTGCCTTAGCCTATTCAATAGTACACTGCCTGCTGGTTAAAATAGAAGGAGGTCTGACAATTAAGTTTGTGAACTTATCCTAGAAAAAGTGCTCATACCTTATTGCTGAATATCACTATGGTCATCTTCAAAGTACTCCCGTTGGGACGCTATGCACCGATGCCAGTGCCTACTCCACCTTTCAAAGCAATTTTGGAACTCTTTTTCTGGAATGGTGATTAGAGCTGTCATTGTATTACCCTTGATGTCCTGAATGTCATCAAAATATCTGCCTTTCAATATTTCCTTTATCTTTGGGTGAAGAAAGAAGCCATTGGGGGCCAGATCAGATAGGTGGGGAGGGTGTTCCAATACAGTTATTTGTTTACTGGCTAAAAACT